TTGTATTTGTGAGCAGTGTCTGTGTGTTTGTATGTAAGCATGTTTATGTATGGAGCATGGAATGCATGGTTGTATTTGTGAGCAGTGTCTGTGTGTTTGTATGTAAGTATGTTTTTGTATGGAGCATGGAATGCATGGTTGTATTTGTGAGCAGTGTCTGTGTGTTTGTATGTAAGTATGTTTTTGTATGGAGCATGGAATGCATGGTTGTACTTGTGAGCAGTGTCTGTGTGTTTGTATGTAAGCATGTTTTTGTATGGAGCATGGAATGCATGGTTGTATTTGTGAGCAGTGTCTGTGTGTTTGTATGTAAGCATGTTTATGTATGGAGCATGGAATGCACAGATGTAATTGTGTGTTTGTATGTAAGCATGTTTTTGAATGGAGTATTTACTGTGTAGCAGAATGGATGCCTAAATACACTTTTATTACTGGTTGTTCAGCTGTCAGTACACCTCCCATTCAGTGTTTATGAGGGGTGCACTGTGTGTGAGGGGTGCAGTATATGTGAGGGGTGCAATGTGTGTGAGGGATGCAATGAGTGTGTGTAAGTGGTGAAGTATGTGGGAGGGTTGCAGTATGTGTGAGATGTGCAGTGTGTGAGGGGTGCAGTGTGTATGAGGGGTGAAGTGTGCTGGGGTGCAGTATACGTGAGGGGTGCAATGTGTGTGTAATTGGCGCAGTATGTGTGAGGGGTGCACTGTGTATGAGGCATGCAATGTGTTTGTGAGATGTGCAGTGTGTGTGAGGGCTGCAATGTGTTTGTGGGAGGTGCAGTATGTGCGAGGGGTGTGGTGTGTTTGAGGGATGCAGTATGTGTTAGGGGTGCAGTGGGTTTGTGAGAGGTCCAGTATGTGTGAGGGGTGCAGTGTGTTTGTGAGAGGTGCAGTATGTGTGAGGGGTACAATGTGTGCATGTAAGTGATGCAATGTGTGTGTGAGGGGTGCAGTGTGTGTAGCAAGTGCGGTGTGTGACTGTGTTGGATGGTAACAAACATGGGAGCAAACATGCATTTTAATTTAATTTTTTTCATTATTTAAAAATAATAATACATTGTAACGGAGGCACCCTGAACCCCTGGCTGGGTACCTCCGCACAGGACCACTTCCTTGCTGGAACAGCGGACAAACCGCAGCACCTCTGCCCACAGTCAGGGTCGGCAGGTCCATAAGGCGGCAAATGCAGCCGCCTTAGGGCGCACCGGCTCTGAGGGTGCATGATTTCAGTGCCCAGCAGGAGGGAAGCGCTCCCTCCTGCCAAGCCACCTTCTGGACCCATGGCGCAGCTGTGATCTAATCAGAGGCAGCGAGGGAGCTCTAACCTCTCTGCTTTGCTCCCTCAAGCGCCGTTTGCTGATGCCGTGGGAGCCGCAGTATGACGTCATATTCCTGCTCCCGGCATCAGTAGACAGCCCACGAGGGAGCAGAGCAGAGAGGTTAGAGCTCCTTGCCACGTCTGACAGGATCTCTGCAGCCCGCCGCACTGAAGCTGTCAATCAGTGTGTTTGTGTTTGTGTGTCTGTCAATGAATGAGTGTGTGTCAGATCAGTGAGTGTGTATCAGATCAGTGAGTCTGTGTCTGTCCGTGACGTTTGTGTGTTTGCCATTGAGTGTATGTGACTGTTAGTGTGTATACACCACTGAGTGTAGCGTGGCGGATCAGAGCACAGTATAGGAGCTTCTATATCCTGTACCCGGCCTGACTGACAGGAGGTGCTCACTGAGAGAGCACTTCCTGTCAGTCCAGCCGGCTACAGAAAACTAAAGCTCTTGTAGAGGATCTGCCCCACTCAGAAATGCTGGGGAACTCGCTCTATCCACCCCCAGGCACTGGACGACACTCAGTCCTGGGAGCTCTAGTCCTTACAAGGACTTTCCCCATTGAATCCTCCACACAGGAACAGTGATTAGCCCTTCCCACTCCCAGTAACCAGACGACACATAGTTCTGGGAGTAAAAGCTGGAATGTTTTAATCTAGCCAGATGGCCTGCTTTTATGCAATTTAGACACAGACAAACACGCTCATTACGCTCCCACACAAAACAGGATAACGGAACATTTTAGCTATGAAGAAAGGTTAACAAATTTAATTCTCTTTAGTTTAGAAAAACTTTGCCTCAGATGGGATATGATAACATTATACAAATATATCCAGGACCAATACAAACCCTTGTGTGGAAATCTATTCATAAACAGGGCTATACATAGGACACGAGGTCATGAGTTTAGACTGGAAGAAAGAAGATTTCATGAGTAGGTAATAGTCGAGGGAAGTACCGCCGTGAGAGTCCCTGAGGTTGGTGTTTACACTTTTGGGGCCCTGGCTAGTTTGGCAGGATTTTCTGTACCTGGGAGACAAAGAGATGATCTATTTTACTGCGCCTTGGCTCCCAGGCTCTTAGGAAGAAGACACCCTGTCACTTTGGGTGGGGGACCGCTTGTCTGAGTGGCAGGCTTTCCATAATTGTGAGACAAGGGGTTAGCAACCCCCTGTTCCTGCAGGTATGGAGGATTCTGGATTATAGCCCCTGGTTGTGTGTGTGGAAGACCCCTTGCATTGGGTTATGCATAAAAGCCATGTGTGGCCAATAAAATTGTGTTGTACCTCCAGGACTGTGTGTTGTCCAGTAACTGGGGGAAATAGATCTCTTTATAATCTAAATGGTTCCTGACCAGCTGAAGGAAGGAAATTAGCAGAGGTAACAGGTTGGGTTATCCTGGGTCTGCTACAACAATATACAGGGATATACATTCTAATTAGTTGGATAATAGCTTCTTGATCCAAGGAGACATCTGACTGCAATTCTGGGGTCAATAAGGATTTTTCTTTTTTTTTTAAGTGCTTCAAACTGGACATTTGCCTTCTTTTGGATCAACAGCAAAAACTGATTTGAGAAAGGCAGAACGTGATGGACACGTCTCTCTTCAGCCTATGTAACTATGTTAGTAGTGTGTTTTATATGTGTAGCCCAACAGAGCCATGATTTGTTTTACAAATATATATATATAGATATATAAACACACACACCAGGATAATTTGGGTTAAGTACAATACTTACATAGAGAGTGGAATAATTTTGCCCAAACAGTGGAAATGCTCTTGACAGATTTAAAAACACATATCCGTCATCGACTTTTGGGACGACGCTGTCTCTCATAGATCCATATGAATACAGAAGATCTACAGGAAAATAACACATTTTTGAGACCTATATAGATTATAACAAATGCATCTCATTGCTGATTAGATTAATTTGTAAAAGAAAAACTTGTATTAAATCTCAACAAATGGTGCATTCTGCGATTGGCCAATACACACGTTCATTATATCAGGTAGTTGCATGATATAAGTGTTTCATCGTTCAACCAGATTTTCAGCCTCATCATACTGAGTTTGGCAAATCATATTACATCGTAACATACATGATGACTCACACTGTCGAGATTTTGACAATGCTGCTTCTGTGAATGGCCCATGGAAGTGCAATCATCTGGCCTACTCTAAGAAAGACTTACATTTCTAGCAAAATGTTTACCTATAAGTTGATAGATGTCAGTGATTGATAGACACTTACCTTTGGTGCAATACATGTGTAGGGTCCATTTTTACAAATATGGTACATTTTCCAAAAATTGCAAAATCCTGTCTACAAATCATGGAAATTCTGATCTCTTATCTAGTCTGTCATTTAAAGGGACACTATAGTCACCTGAACAACTTCAGCTTAATGAGGTTGTTCAGGTGAGAACTATAGCTACCTGCAGCCTTTCTCATGTAAAATAGGAACACCTCCAATTGCAGTCACTCAGAGTGAACCAGATGGACTTTGGAGTTGATGGAGGCATAATATGCCTTTATCCACTCAGATCTGCTGTCAGCAGAGCACAGGGCAGCACTGTGCACAGCATCCTGTGATTCAGTATCTCCGCCCACTGCATGCAGACACTGAACTTTCCTCATAGAGATTCATTGATTCAATGTATCTCTATGAAGAGATGCTGATTGGCCAGGTGTGTTTGAATCATGCTGGCTCTGCCCCGATCTGCCACTTTGTCAGTCTCAGCCAATCCTATGGGGAAGCATTGTGATTGGATCAGGCTATCATGTCAGCAGACTGCTTGTTTTTACTGGGTCTAACAGCATGCAGAGTTACAGCTTCTGGCTTGAATACAGTAAGATTTTCACTATATTTATGGAGGCATGAGGAGCCCAGGGGGGCTAGATGGTCATGTTAATACTATAGGGCCAGTGGTTCACTGGGTGGCTGTCTATTCATATGCACGAACACGTGGTGGCGACTATTTTGTTTTTGTCGAAGTGTCTGCAACTATTTTTGGACACTCGAACTCTAGAACACCACTGAGACTTCCAGGACCACTTAGATTTGTGAACATTCCTACGAAAGAGGCGGCGTTCGGTAAAAGCATTACATGAATGAGGCGGCACACGACCATCCAATTCATGAACACAGATGGGGATGGTTGTTTAGTATTTTTAAAACTACAAAAAGGGACCGGCCGCACCAGGTGAATGCATGGAACTATTTTGGGTAAGAGCCTCGTGTGAGGCTGGGACTTCCATCTATCTCCCGAACCCCTGAACCGATTTGCATGATTTTTTTAATATGTTGGTCCCCTAATTGTGCCCTTTCAGAAAATTTATGGGAATTGGATGTATAATTTTAATGTTTTGAAAAATGTGTAAAAAGTTAATTTTTTCGCTTGGAGATAATTGAGTTGATACAGTAATTAACTCAATTATCTCCCAAGCAGAGGGGAGGAATTTACAGTAATGAATGGGAGTGTTTAGCTGTGTGACTGTAAACCATTGGCTGTTGAATTTATTTCTCGGTGCCCCACAAGGTCCACATGGGTGGTAACCTTGTGGGAAAAGTTGCATAAAAGGCCAGCCTGGCACATTAAACCTTCAGATCTGCTTAACCCCTATTACGTAGCCTCGTCTCGTTATTGTAGGGGACCTGCAACTAGGGTCACTTATTCTGGCAGTAATTAAACCCATAATTAATTCCCACTTGACTTCTACGTTGCCTTAAAGGAACAGTATACAAACATTTTTTCATTATTTAGGTGAACGGCCCCAGTCTGTCCAAATGGGAAAGGTGTTTTTACTCACATTTTCTCCCACGCTGTGCTGGTCTGGCTCTTACTCCATTCTTGATGATCTCAGTCAATTGCTCATGCGGGGCAACACAGCACATTGTGCCAAACAGCATATCCTCATAGAGATGCATTGAATAAATGTGGATAATATGTGGAACATTCAGCGCCTCCATTCTTTATCATTCTGAGTTTGGCAGATCATATTATATCATAACATACATGATGAATCACACTTTCAAGGTTTTGACAATGCTGCTTTTTTAAATGGCTTATTGAAGTGCTATCATCTGATCTACAGGAAGCACCTCTAGTGGCTGTCTGAGTGGCTGCAACTAGAGGTGTTACTAGACAGCAATGTAAACACTGTCTTTTCTCTGAAAGGGTAATGTTTACACTGCTAAGAGTTCAGGGACAGGCTATAGACACCAAA